ACAAATGCTGCATTACCTTGGATTATGTGGGGAGGGAGCCCCAATATATCTTTATAATATAAAAAAAGGTTACTTAATTTTTTAAAACAATTTTGCCAATAATATACTGGAAGACAATAGAATAGCATGAATTTAAAAAGAGGATTAAGGAGATTTTTTTATTTCGGGGCAACATGGACCAAGAAGAAAGAAAAAAGTACTATTTTAAGCAATGCTGGAAAAAATCAGAGATGTGGATTGCTTTTTACTATGATGATAATAACCTTACAGGGTTGTTATGAGGCTAAAATAAGGTATTTTGTTTTAATCCAAGTGTTCCGTATTTGTAAGAAGCATTAAGAAATATGATAGGGATTTCTTACTTGCCTAAACTCCTAAAGGTCAAAGAACTTGTCTTTTTCATCTTAGTTTTCCCTAAACCAGGCAGATGGTCAGTACTAAATTAAGATTTGGGAAATGAATGGATTGTGGGTGTACATAAGACATGACAAAAATGCAAGGGTTTGAAAATAAAAATGCTGCATCTGAAGCCAGAGTGGGAGATGATAGGTGAGACCAAGAGGCAAAACAAGGAAGCAGAAGACAAAAAGTCAGACCACGTGTCCCTGGGCAAAGAACGTGACAAGAAACGGCCATAGCCCCTTGAGTCCTACCCTGCAGTGGCCAGATATGAACAGGAGCACCACAGCATCCCACAGTCGGAGCAGCATCAAATATTGGGTCATAGTGGGAAACAGCGGACACGGGAACGCCTGTCAGAATGAGGCTGAGCTGGAATTTTTCCCTGGGGAGTGAGGTCTTTAGACCTCTAAGGCTGCTTGAACATCTTAGCAAGATTTCACAGTAGACACTTTTCCCTTAGTGCACCTCCAATCAGATAAATGACCTTTGTTTAGCTTCTAATATTCTTTGCTTTATTATGCAAATGGACCACCTTATTCATCTATGTTAACATTCTCTAAACTGCATCTCTTAGTGAAGACGCTAACAGTGCTTTGAAATGAAGGGCTCAGTGCTGGAGTCCAAGCATGCTAATACAGAGAGCTCAGATGTTAAGGTCGGGGGCTACTGGCCCGTCTCTTCAAGGCCTCACCAGACATTATACGCTTTGTGGAATTACCACAATTTGGGGCGTTGGCTTTGCTGGTCCAGAAGTCCAATTTGGCTAGGATACCCAGTCCAACAGCAGCTCCATACTTGCCATTACTTGCATTGTGGAGTTTTGCTTAGGTTATACTTTTCGTCCAAACAGCTCTCCACTGTAGCCACATCCTTATCACCAGACATTCAGGTCAGATGTTATCTTTTACCTTCCTCTTTGATCCACATCAGTAGATGTAAACCACGCCACTGAGAGGCAGACAAAGTCATGCATGGCATATTTCTACATATTTAAAAGTTATATAAACTAAGTTATATAAAATAGTTAATAAGCTAAAAACTATTAAAATATATTAATTCTTCCTACCTTGACAAATATGCCTTCATTACAACAAATAAACAACATGTGTAAAGCTTTATTTTTAAAAATGATCCAAAGTCAGCAAAATATTAGAGATAACAGAATTAACTTATTGCACATTGATTATTCTGTTAATAAGTTAGTGATATTTGGATGCGTACAGAAATAGACATACATAATTCATATATACTTATTCCATAAAATTTACTTTATTGCCTTGATTTCAACAAGACCTCTAGTCATACTGTTATAAACCAAGATTTTTACATCGATTATGTTCTATGGACTGTAATAATCTCAAGTATTAAAAACAAAATGGAATTGTTTTCTATATGGGCAAAATGTTAACATATTTGTCAAGATATTAATTACCTTAAATGTAAAAAATTGAAATTTCCCAGTAAAATAATGATTAATGAATCATCATCAAACTTCTTGTATTTTCTATATAGACCTACACATATACAAATATATGAGCAAAATGATTTAACATCGCAAATGTTACTCAGCCTCCATGTATAATTATTCCTAACAGTGTACTAAGTCACAAGAACCCCCAGAACTGTGAACAAAACCCTCAGACAGCAAGAAAATGGAAGCTTAGCACTACTGAGAAACAGCATTTTCTCAAGGCACAATCTATTGCATTCATGCTGAGGAGGTTTTACCGAGTTAACGTGTCTTTTCTCTTCTAAGCACTGCTGAGGCTCAAATCCTTCCTGTACTCTAAAGCAGTATCCGCTCCAAAGTCAACATTGGGACAAGCCACCCATCTCCACGGACTCAGGTTTCCTTTCATTCAAGGACACAGGTCAAAACACGAAAAAACAGTGTATCTGGATTATGAATTGCCCTAAGCACCAGTTCCCTAGTAACAGGGATCTACCTGTGTTTGTGATACATGGGGCTGCCCTTCTTGCCCAGGTTCAAGGAAATTCTCCTTTGAATACTGATATAATAAGCATTTAATATGCATCACTGGGGACGTGATGAAAAAAAATAATGGCAACTAATTGCACTAATCCTCACAGCTCCTCTATGTAAGTATTACTTCAATGATAAAGAGAGAAGGTGAAAGTAAGGGAGAGTGAAGAAACTTACCAAGGCCACAACAGCCCCTGAACAATGGGGCTGGGCCGGACCCCAGGGAGTCAGCTGAAGGGCCCAGGATCTAATTAACCCTTTCACAACAGCTAAAAGGCTTGATCCCAACCTCCCAGGAGCTCAGTCTACTGAGACTGAGGCAAGTAAAGGGATGGCAGCAATATTCCACTGCTTTTATTTGTGTTCACAACAGCTGTTGTAGTCAAGATGCCATGCTCCTAGACTTGAAGTTCTCAAATCTCCACTGCCACCCATGGTAGGTGACTTCTGAGGGTGGGTTATAATAGAGAGATGACTTCTTCAGTTAATGGCTAATAGGTAGGCTGATTCTTACTAGTTTAGCTCTTAAAGGGAAACCTTGTCTCTCAGTTCATAAGACACCTCACTGTAGGAATGACTGCATAAATAGTCTCACTTTCAAAGTAGTATTTTTACAAACATTTACCTTAGGTCTGATTATGGAGACACACAGAAAATTCAGTGGTTCATTTTCAGTTCATATTATAAGACCTAATTAAATGTGCCATGATAAATTTTATATTAAGTTATTAAGAAAAGCATCTCTTACCAAGAAAAAAAGAAACCACTTTGTGGAGGTGAGATGGGGATGGTGGAAAATTAACTTAGAAAATAGTAAACTCTAAAAAAAGCCTGAGAATTATACTATACCAGGAACAGCGTATCTTTTTGACAGACCAACTGTTATGTCAAAAAATATATGTATATATGCCCTCCTGAAATATTAGTTGGGAGAAATAAACCCACACAAAGAATATAAGGTCAGAATAATTATTGAGCTCTTTTCCCCCATGGAAGTACTTTGTTATTTCTGTAAGAAAACAGGTGCTCTGAAGAACAGAACTGATGAAAAGAATGCTGCACGGAAAAAGGTTCAGCATTCAGAAAGATGGGTGTGGAAGGGCGCCAATACTAGAGAAAAGAGACGCTCATGCAGCAGCTACTTAAATTTAGTAGCAGATAGGAAAATATGGCAGAAGGCTAAAAAAACAGAATGCAATGTAAAATTCAAACTATCACCGAGAAGCTGGTCAAAATGCAAAAAGGAGAAATAAAAAATCACAACTGTACAAAAGAAAGTATTGTAACATAAAGCCTCTAACGCGTGCCTCTACCGTGTTGTTTAATGTGGGTTGAATTTGGCATACTGTCTTTGATAAATACACCACATACCAGAAGAATCACCTCACCAAATGTGTGGTCTATAAATCACTCTCTTAATCCTAAAAGAGCTTTATTTCATACAAGTGATCTGCAGTTCTCTGCAGACTGTCCTAAACAATGCTTCAGAGTTTTTGGATCTCGGCCCGAGGATGACTATTCAGCACAAAGTCTGGTCAGCCTGCTGAAGCAATTTCCTTCGGTTGTGTGTCAAGGCTGCAGTAATCTGATAGAAAACAAGATGTCCACCCCGTGTAGATCTCAGTGTCTGATTCAATAAATGATTTTAAACTATAAGGAAAGCCAAGAGCCAAGAATAGAAAAAAATGAAAGTTCCAGAATGTGTTGGCTTTCCTAATCATTACATTTTTTTAAAAGAAGTTTTCATTTTAAAACATACATAGGAACTGGTCTCCTGAAGATACTGTTTGAAGATAAATAATTGACCTGACATTAACTGAACTAAACAGTTTTTAACCCAGGAAGAAACATATTACTTCTAATTCTTAGAAATGCAGCAATGCCCAATGAGATGGGAGAGAAAGCCTGCACTCCAAGCCAGCACAGGTTCAATGGCTGTTGGCCTCTCAGGGCAAGGCAGAGTCCAGCCAGAGAGGCAAGAGGTGACCAAAGAGCCCATGAAATTGGGGTGCAGCCCACTCCAGAGCAGTGTGCTTCCCTCCTGCATGTCCACTGCCAGCCCTGGGCCTCATCCTGACTGCCAGGTGTTTTCTGTCTTTCACACTCTTAAATATCAAAGAGTACTTTGAGAGATCTGGCAGTTTTCCCTACAATACTGGCAGGGAGGGTGTCTGAAAAAATAGTATATAAACACACAGACAGTATTTTCTCTATCAGTAATTATAGACAAGAATCTACACAAAAATAATGTATTGAAACCGATCAGTAAATTCTTGACTATTTATAAACCTTCTAATGTTAAGGTTCAAGTTGTCTTTCAGGGGCTAATTAATTTAACAATGAGTTTAAGTAGGACAAGGCAATTTTTAGTCCTATTTTCCAATTAAAAAATATTAGTTAATACACATACAAGTGCTTTGGGGAAAAACCTTCTATATTTCTATAGTGCAGTTGTTATCAGAAGTAAGAAATTACACACACAAACCTAACTTTGAGAGTGGTGTCCCTTTGAGAAAAACATTTATAAAAGTTCAAAGTATTGAACTTAGATGGTCCACTGAATGAGTCAGCCAAAACGGCACAACTGTGCAAATAAGGTTTTACATTTACTTACAAAGACCCCAGGGAAGCTTCCCTTGTAGCTGGCAGACGTTGTAGAGCTCTGGTGCAATGTGAACACATTCTTACAGATGCTGAACTGAGCAGCCCAGAAGGGACCACCAGAAAAGCCGCAGAGGTAACTGAAGGGGAGGAAGCCGCACATGAGGACTAATCACTATAGGAGAAGAGCCCAAAACATCGATAATTCCATTACTGAGTAATCCAACTTCTCAGTTTATATCGTACTAAACAAACAATGTATCAAATGCCAAGAGAAAGAATGCATAGAGAGTAATACATATGATGATTTTGGCATCAGAAGCCAGCTGCAAGACAATCAAGAACTAGTGTATTCTGCAGTAGCACTTTATTATTGCCTTCTCAATTATTTACATCATGTGATGATATAACCAAGAAGGAAAATATAAAAGCATGTTTCGGCGTGAATGTTTCACCATGCATTTCACAAAATATCAAAACCTTAAAAAAAAAATCTTCCCCTGTACCTTAATGTGTGCTGTGCTTTGAGGGGCTGCACATATTAGAATCATCTTGTCTATTGGTGAACACGATCCATCCTCGGGGATGAAACAGCAGCCGCAGTTTGGACGGCACAATGCTAACTGTGTTAAAAATGGAACAGGTACCAAATTGAGACTGCAGGCGAAATTTTGAGACAGATCATGCTGATTATCCAAACAGTATAATTTGGCCTGCTCCCAAGGTCTGATAAACTCTTATGCTTACAAAAAAGGGCACAGCATTTTCAGGACAAATGTTCAGGGCTGTACTTTCATTTCTCACTTGAAATACAAAACAGGATCCTAAGTTCCTAACTCTTTCTTAGCATTTGCTTGATAAAAACTTGGGGTGTTGTTTCCTACACAGTGTTTCCAGGGAGGCCACAAATCCAAGTATCTGCAAGGCTCTTTTTACTATAATATGTAAGGAAACAAACCAAAATGAATTAAAGTGCTCAGATAAAGATCCACTAAATATAATACTATGAAATGTAAGGTAAAAGTTTCCCACATATTATAGTTTGAGGTCATCTAGTTTAACTTTATGATATAAAGCCAAGGGAATTATGTTAGAGAGGTTAACAATTTGGATAAAACTAATTTAAAAAAAAATTTTTTTTAAACTTAACTCAAAATTATCAATGTATTTTTCCCCCTAGGACCTAGGATAGCATGTTTTAGACATCCTGGGGAAGAATTATGACAGGATAGACTATAATTATGATAGTTCAGCCCAGAATCATCACAAAACCACGAGGACCAGCACTGACACGCCCTCAGCGCTATGCGCATGTCTGTGACTACGTTCTACTGCTCAGAGGAGAGACCGCCTCCAGACAGCGACAGCCTACAGGGGACTTGCTGCTGGCTGAACTCAGTCAGGGCAGTGCGACTGGAACTTGTTCAGCCTGGAAAATGTTTCTTGAAGTAATTTGCTGTGATTGCTTACTCAGGGAAAAATGAAGATCTATATAGAATTACCAAAATCATTAACTTCAAAGCATGATAATAAAAAACTTTTAATATGGAAACCATGTTTTATGTTGAAAAACTGCAGTATGGTGGGAGTCAGTTCCACTAGCCAACTAGGTGCTCTTGGGTGAATTATGTACCCTCTCTAAATACCCTTCAAGTGCTGGTTCACAGAAGCAAAGGGAGGGCAGAAAAAGATGAAAGGTGTAAAGGGCTTTCTTTGTATTGATGTTTCTTGGGAGGGACAATGTGAACTTGGCAAAACATTAAAAAAATTTTCAACATCTCCTTCTTTCATTTATATTCTCTAAAGTAAAGCTTCCGGAATGTTAATTTTTATCCTTTGCATTATTCCTTTGTGATACAATGTTGAGGATTACTTTTTGGTCCAAATAATAAAAGGAAATTCTATCTTCGCATGGTAAAGTCAGAGAAAATTTCTTATGTACAATGTACTTGATATCAAAATAATCAGACTGCTTGATGGAGCTAACCAGGTCTATTGATGAACTTCAGATTTTAAAAGGTTAATAGGGAAGTGGGCAGAAACTATTCAGAATTACCTCAGACTGCCATGACCTATGAACACATGACCAGAAACAAATTATATGAAAGCCCCCTATCTCATATGTATAAAATGAAAGCCAATGGTGGCGGGTTCTTCAGCTTCCAAAGAGTTCATTGCTTTTATTCTTGAACTAGGTCTGCTCCATGTGAAGTGGACAGTTGGGCAACTTCCCTGTGAATGTGAGCAACACAGGAACACATCTAATAGTTCAAGCTTCAGAGAATTTATTACCTGAGAAATCCAGATTGAGGAGAATTACCCAATAATTGTTCTATCTTTATACATTCCTTAGCACACCTCTTGATGGTTTTTGAAGAGTGATGCTACAATGCCTACTTTCTATGTCTGAAGCAAGGACACATTCAAGTCACTCTCAAAGAGCTGCCAGGATGGAAGGAGCAGAGTCCCAGTTTGGCTACTTACTAGCTCAGTGATCTTGTAATCTGGGTTACGTCATCTATAAAATGAAGATATTTCTATTACCCTTTCAGAGGTGTAAGGGGGATCAAGTACAATTATACATATATACTTACTTTGTAATTATAAAGTACAAACAAATGTATAATTTTAAGAAAAATGTTTAAAAGATTTTACAGTATCTATAGTTATATTATCTGCGTGAACTAAAGCACACAGATATTGCATAATAGTATCTATCACGTGCACAGTGATTAACAGCATAGAGTAATATCTCATTGACCTTTAGAAGAATGCTTGTAGTTACTGTTCCTTTTTATTTGCTAGGCAACGAAGGCTTAGGGACGCAACTTGTCCAGGGTCACCCTGTAGGGGGTACCCCTGATTCTGACCTAGACCTTTCAAACTCCATATCCACAGTCCTTTCAGCTAACACACCTTATTTTACTCTACCCTTGAAGATGTTTTCTACATTTTGAGGATGATCAGAGTACATCTGTTTTGATGTGCAGCTTTGGTACAACATAGATTAAAAAGTTAAAACAAATGTAAAGATAATGCCAATGAAGTTTAATAATATGGAAAATGAGAGTTTTATGAACTAAATATTAGTAAACCTGTATCTGGGTACTTATCCATTGACTCTTTATAGTTAAGATTTACAAAAACATACATTTCCAACACATTTCAGCTTAAATTTAGAAACAACAGGAATTACTGGTCAACAGTTTTGTCTCTCAAACTGAACTCTTTGGAGCATATGCTCTGGCAAAGCTTTGTTCTCTCTGTATGCACCTCAGGAAGGTAACAGAGGCAACGCTGTGGACACTGAAAGCTGAGCCTCAGGGGTCAGGCAGTCTTGGGGTCACATCCACTTACTAGCTGTAAAGGCAGGCTAGTTACTCCTCCAGGCCTCAGTTTCCTTTTCCATAAATGGGAAAAACTCTACCTTGAAGGAGGATTAAACTGGTTTTCCCACTTGGCTTGGCCCATCAGTCTTCGCACTTTACAGTCACAGTTACGTGTCTGTTAAGCCGTCTGCTTTTGGCTAGAAATAAGCCTAGTTGGCTTCCTCATGTTCTGGCTTGTTCTGAAGCACATTGCTCTCAGATGGGGACTTACTAGAACTTTTAGAACAGGAAAATACAAAGGGAACCCCTGGCTTGCTGGCACAAGTCTGAGCAGCAGACAGTGACACATCTGTAGGCTGACACTTCAAAAGATACTCTCAGCCGAACAGTTTCTAATTTTAAGGCTTTAGAATCCCCAATTTTTTCCCCATTCACTTAAGGACGAAGTGAAATCTTTGTCATGTAAACAAATAAACAAAAAACAGGAAAAATAAATCATAGAACCAAGTCCAGAAGGCTTCGATGACAAGGTCTGATGATAAATCTAACTCATTTACTTTGACAAAGAACATGATGATTGTACTCTTTATTCCTCATCTTCAGGGAATGAGATGATGACTGACGTTTCAGTCCCTAGTTTTATATATTAAGTGCTTTTGAATACAAATGCAATATTCCAAGCACCAGGATTCCGACTTAAGTATGCACAACAGCATAAGCAAGCAAACCAGGATGTGAGACATCTTTAAGTGAGGAATCTCACTGATGTCTGACTCTTAACTTGAAATCTGAGTTCCAATTAAAATTTACTCTGAGATCCCATATATGAAATCTCTTACCAAGTGCAGTGATAAGAAATTAAGAGTTGTGGAACACATGCTCATGAGGATCCACAGGAAAACCGGAAGAGCCTGCTCATTTTATTGTGGAGCCAATGTGATAAAAATGACACAACAGAGGTCAAATTATAGAACACTCCATTTAACTCTTTGTTTTGCCCATGGGATATTGTGTTTTATAGTAAGAAATTTTTAGTGTTCCTCCCATTCCTGGCACAAAGCTCCTAAAAGCCCATGGAATATCCTAATTGGCAAGGGCAATAAAACCATCTCTGTTAATGGTGAGGAGGTGATTTAAGAAAGCCCTAGGTAACAGGATGGGGGCTGCCAGCCAGAGGATCCGGGATTAGAGGGCAGGAATTTTCAGCCCCACCCCCACACTTCTGGGCAGGGAGAGGTGTTGGACACTGAGTCGAATCACCATTGGCCAATGATTCAATCAACCTTGCCAATGTAACGAAGCCTCCATAAAAACCCAAAGGACAGGGTTCAGAGAGCTTCCCGGTTGGGGAACATGTGGAGAGTCGGGGAGAGGGAGGGCCTGGAGATCGTACACATACCTGGCACGATGTGCCTTGCAGGCTAGTTACTCCTCCAGGCCTCAGTTTCCTTTTCCATAAATGGGAAAAACTCTACCTTGAAGGAGGATTAAACTGGTTTTCCCACTTGGCTTGGCCCATCAGTCTTCGCACTTTACAGTCACAGTTACGTGTCTGTTAAGCCGTCTGCTTTTGGCTAGAAATAAGCCTAGTTGGCTTCCTCATGTTCTGGCTTGTTCTGAAGCACATTGCTCTCAGATGGGGACTTACTAGAACTTTTAGAACAGGAAAATACAAAGGGAACCCCTGGCTTGCTGGCACAAGTCTGAGCAGCAGACAGTGACACATCTGTAGGCTGACACTTCAAAAGATACTCTCAGCCGAACAGTTTCTAATTTTAAGGCTTTAGAATCCCCAATTTTTTCCCCATTCA